AACACTACAAATTTAGTTCATCCAGACCCGAAACAGAAAATTGCTGTCTGCGATGCATCAGACAAAGCCATAGGCATTTACATCCAACAGCGTAACAGACAAACATGTGAACCATTAGGATTTTTCGCCAGAAAATTGAGCAATACGGAACAAATGTAAAGTACGTACGACAGAGAGCTGTTAGCAATATTTGCCTCTATCAAACACTTTAGATATCTGCTTGATGGTACGAACTTTACAGTATTTACAGATCATAAGCCACTTACAAAAGCATTTAACCAAAAGTATGACAAGTTATCACCTCTACAAATTAATCAACTTAATTTCATAGGTCAGTTCACTACTGATATTCAACATGTGAATGGTGCAGAAAATGGACCAGCCGATGCTCTTCCTCGCATCGAAATGGTTACTAATGTCATTTCTATTAGCTGTGAATCTCTTTCACAAGCAGAACAGAGTGACACTGTACTCCAATCCTTTTTACACAAAGAAAATCCAGTTCTGCAATAATCGAAGCTAAAAATGCCTGAGAGTTCTGTAAAACTATATTGCGACATTTCACATAGGAAAGTTAAAGAAAACTTGTCTCTTCAGTTCTGTATAATCTTTTCCATCTTGGACCTAAAGCAACGCTGAAGTTAATCAGTGTTAATCAGAGATCGATTTATCTGGCCCGGAATGTCTCGTCATATACACTCTCCTTTAACTACTTTTGTAGTTCCAGATGAACAGTTTTCTCATATCAATATAGATTTGATTGGACATCTTCTTTCATCTCAATGAATGTCTTACTAGTTCAACCACCTCATCCGCGACCATGAGCACAAACACGCATGCGTCATTCGGACCGAATTATTCTCAAAATAGGGATAAAGGATGGGGATTTTCTTTCCCTCCAGTATAGCTCTTTCCGGAGAAGAGAAGACCTTTAACGTAGCAGCAAGTAATACAAAGTTATCAAAACTTTTGGACGAGTCTATGGGTTTTTGCAGAATGCCAACCAGGGTTGCACTTGAGACGGTCGAACTATATTTCACATGAATTGACAGGTATGCTCGATGGCCTGAAGCTTATCAATTGAAAGATACACGGGAAGAGACCATTGGTACTGCTCTTTATGCAGGCTGGATCTCAAGATTCGGTGTGCCTGCCCAGATTACCACTAATCGTGGTAGTCAATTTCGAAGTGAACTCTTTCGAGAACTGGCTAAAAACTTTGGTATTTGCCTTCCTCATACCACCGCGTACCAGACACAAATCAATGGCCTCACTGAAAGATGGCACAAATCGCTTAAACAGTCCATGTCATACATATGTTCACTGGACTATTGCACCTTCAGTTCTTTTACAACTTCGGGCCGCTTTTAAAAAGGAACTTGGCAGTTCTCTAGCCGAATTGGTGTAATGTCAAACTTTACATCTTCCAGAAAAATTCTTTATGCCTCCCGAAAGTAACAATCCGAAAAATGACTTCCTACAAAAATGAAATGATCATATAGAACATCTTCGATCGACTACTATCACAAATCACTCCAAAAAAGATCTTTGTGTACAAAGACTAAGATAAATATTCTTATGTTTTTCTGAGTGTAGATAAAGTATATGCGGCCCAGAATTGTTTGCATAGCAAGAGTCAAGAAAAAATGAACGTAGTTCCTCGCGAAGCTGTATTTATACTACGTAGGTGCTTTCTGTATAGCATCTACAACATGATTGATTAATTAGTTTTGGTAGCCTTTTTCAAGCAGTGTTATACAATTTGGAACTGTTTCGAATTTGGGAGAAAGGCTAAACTTAGGGGGAGAGCATCAAACATAGAATAGTTAATTTTGAGGTCGCCAATTATTCTTAAAGCAGCTATCGTATTTTGTTATATTTTACACACACATACATATCCAGCCCCTTACCTGACCTTTATTTTGATAATCATTGGTCATAGTCATATCTTCTCATTACAGAAGTGTTTAAATGACGAAAATTGTTTTAAATACGTCAAATTAAAAAAACAATTTCGACAAATAATGAAAGAAATTTAACTTATCATGCTGTCTCCCGTTTCCTAAACGTATACTTGGGAACGTTTCATATTGGTTATGAAAATATAAGTTAGAAGAAGTTTGACTCCCGTACGACAAAAACTCACCGAGATATTTAATTCAGAATTTGAAATTTTTTATGTCATTTTCAACTTGCCTTAACGGGTAGGTTAAATAAATTTAAATCCTTCGAGGAAATAACTTTAAATCGAGTGCAGCAAAAAATGTGTATAATTTAATAGGTGGTAAAAGAAAGTCATGTGTTTCCATATTAGATATTTAACTATTAATTCTGATCTGATAAAAATCATTATCAAAATTCTGGCTCCTGAAAACCTCGATTTTTTTTGGGGGGGGGAGCAGTAGCATAAATTTATTGGGGGAGCCCAAGAAATTTTTTTTGCATAGATGCCCTAGAGTTCTAGTTATGCCACTACTTATCAGTGATGGCTGTGACGCTGCCAGAATGCGCTTTGTTTGAAAGTTGTTTTATGAAAACAAAGAAAATGTTGCAGATGTACTTTGACAATTTTGTTGCCTTCAGAATTTACGCAAAGGACCATTACTTCCACAAGCTGTCAGGAGAATGATCTCTCGATTCAAGAAAACTGGAGATCTTAGAGTTCAGTCAGGTCGAGGATTCAAATTGGACTCGTTCAGATGTCGTTGAAGATGTTTCCACTGTTATTGGTAAACAATCAATGGGTAACGTTGTAGGCTGTGGTAGTGCAAGTGCAGTTTCCCTGCTCTTGGGTCTTTCCTACAGTATAGTGCCGAACGTATTGAGAAGAATGGTGCATTCGTCACAATCAGCAGTTGTTTTCTCTTCAACAGGGTAAAGCGAGTGACCTTTGCATTCACATTTCTGGCTAGAGTTGAAGTGGATGCATCGGGGCCATGGCAGACTCTATGGAGAGATAAAGCACATTTCCATTTAAGTGGATCAGCCAACATCCATAACTGTCGCACTTGGGACTCGGAAAACCCTCCTACCTTCAAAGAAATTCTACTTATCTTACCGAAAGTTACAGCCTTGTGTGGATTCACAACCACATTCATTCTTGGACATTTCTTTTTCGAAAAAGCTACGCGCAATGGCTCTGCGACATGCACCATGACGGGCAGGAGGTACCAAAACATGCTTGAAAACTTTGCTGTTCCCCAAATGCAACACAGCCAGTGTCTTGATTCAATTACCATGCAAGATGGAGCAACTCCATACATTGGATTCTGTGTACAGCAGTTTCTTTGGCAATATTTTACTAACGATAGAGTAATTAGTCATGCGTTTCTGACAACCTGGTCATCTCCAGATCTCTATCTTCAGATCTGAACCCCAGAGCTTAATGAAAAATAAGCAATGCCCATTGATCTCCGGATCTTAATCAGTGTGATGTTTGGCTGTAGGGTTACTTAAAAAAATCTAGTTTATCGAGGACGCCTGGTAACTTTAGATGATTTAAAAGACAGTATCACTCTGTATGTGAGAAGCATCTCAATCGACCAGTTACGATCCTCAGTTGAACAAGCTGTCCACAGACTGCAGATTCTACACCTTGAAGAAGGGAACGATATTGAGCAGCTTCCCCTGCATTGATAAAGTACTCGTGATATGAATGTTTGGTACGCTCGAATAAAATGTGTTAAAAATGTGTATTTTGTGTCTTTCCAGCATATTTTCTGTTGTACAGCGGCATCTATCGGTATTTTGGGAACTATTTGTTTTCACTTAATCCCTTTCCCCATGTCTTGAATAGTATGTTCAACAATTTTGGAGCCTTTACACTCAGTAGTTTGACGTACAGAGAGCTCAGAGTACAGATGTTTGAATTCTGACCACTTTGTACAATATCCATTTCTGTCAATCCTTTTAAAACACCATTTATGACAATTTGTTTTTTTATTTCTGTGTCTAAAGGAATATTTGTGAAAATAAAAGCGGAGTATTTTGCCAACGTCTAGGAGCGGCTATTGACTTTGAACAAAGCTCAGGTCGTATAAATTTACGAGTATAAAAACTTGAACAGGATGTTAGGGTATATTTAATTTTTTAATTTAATAGGTAAAAAAACACTTTGTTTCTTTGCGTAACACCGGTTGAGAATCGCTGCTGTACGGGCTAAGTGGTCGTGCTCTGAAACCCTGCTCTTACCAATGGTGTTTAATGCTTTCAAATAGAAGTGCTTATTTTTACCCGGATATAGATAAAGGGCTCTGAAACCACAGAGTTAGTTTATTACTAAACAATACATGTTGTTATTGTTGCTTATGCTCACTTGTCTGACATAGTCAGATTAAGCCCACGAAATTTCTAATCGCAAGGAGCGCAAGATTACTCCTGTCGTTGGCAACAGCCTCGAGCACCTAACAGGTGACAGTGCGATTTGGCTCAGTTCCGTAATCAGTTTTGATGGAGAGCACCCAGGGTAGTCGGGTCCGAGTGTCTCCCACGCTTCTCCCCTTCCACCAAACCACAGGAGAGGACTTTAATTTCGCCGCGTATTTAGAGTTCCGCCATGCCGCATCGACGATACGACATTTACAAACATCCATGCCTTCTCCAGGATTCGAAATCGGGCCCTTCGGCGCGGCAGTCAGCGACGCTAACCATTATACCGGTTGGGCGACGCTAACCACTATACCGGTATATTTGCTTGCTGGCCGCTTAGAGCAACATTTTGGTTGGACGTATATATGCTTGCTAAGCGCTTAGAAGAGGATTTTGGTTGGACGTATATATGCTTGCTGGCCGCTTAGAGCACAATTTTGATTAAACGTATATATACGGCTCGGCCACTTGGAGGGTTAAACAATACATGCACCTGGCCCAGTGAAAATATCTTTCATTTCCACAGATTTTTTCTCTGAGCTCGACAGTCTTGCTTCCTATTCTAGTATTGTGATTTATAAATTATTTTGTGTGGTTTAAATATAATGTAAATATATTTTATACAATTAAAATAGAAATCACATCAAAGTTTTATTTAAATTAAATACTGCTGAGATTTACAATGTCTTGCAAAGGGCTAGAAACAACTGATGCGTCAGCTTTACTTTACCATCAGATCCGGAGTGGTCTCCGAGGATGAACGTGATGGAAAGGGAAACACTCCTTTACCTCCTCCCTCTGCTTATGGATATATAGAAGATTAAAGGGATAATTAGTCAGAAAATAATAACATAAATCTGCAAGATCATCATTATAAACACCTTAATTATATATCGAATGCTTCCAGAAAATGATCCCAGTTTTAAAATATGCAAGTTATTCAGAATTTATGTAAGAAGCAGTATGATACAAATGGGAATCGAAAGATCCATACCAAAGCGAAAAAGACCCAGCCCCCCATTAATATGGAAAACCACAAACTATATGTGTCAGATGAAAGGATACTAAAGAACACAGAACATGTGCCAGTAAAAAGCAAATCCAGGTGGTGTACATATATTCTATAAGGTTTCTTCCTCTTGTGCCCCGGTGACACAAGTGAGAGAAACCTTATACAACAAGCCACATGTGTAAAACGTGCAATGTTGACGTATTACATGTAACAAAAACACAACATATGTTTTGAACAGTTTCATGAAAAATAACTTTTCTTTGATATTTAAAAAAATGACTGAGTTTTTTATTTTTACTTTACCAAATTTTTTTTACTTATTTATCCGAACGTCCTTATTATGTACGTTCTTATGTTTTTACTGCTATAGAAAAATTACATAAATGTTTATTTTTTCATTTTTTTCCTCATGATTTATCTTGCAGTAAGTTTCAAAGCTCGCTGGTTTAGAGTGCGACCACCAAACACAGATCATAGGCGAGATTAGAATTTTTTAATTCAGATATTATAGAATATATCTCTCGGATCATAATATTCGATTTCTAGAGTTTTCTCTTTTTAGTTAAAACATTATAAAGATAATATCGCACTCATCAAAGGGTTAACAATAAGCAACATGCGCCGTCTTTGAAAAACCATGTTGGTATAAAAAATAATGAAGCATGCCACTAAAAAAATTATAATAAAATATGCATTAATTTAATACAGAATTCATGGGACCTAATGAAAGAAAATTTTAATTTAAGCACCATTTCAAATTATGGAAGTTCAAGTTAGACTAACTCTGTTAATATTTTGAGCCTAAGAGAGTACATGCAAAACCAAATGCTCACTTTTCATATTAAAAGAAAACTGTTTAAATGACCTCTACAATATTTTAATTCATAACTTTTATCTATCTAGGAATGCCAGCTATTAAAGTGTCATCAACAACAGAGAAGTTTTGAAAATTTAAGAACATCAGTACAATGATTGATCTCATATGGACGATATTAAACAATTAGAATTGTCAAACAAGGATAACTCATCTTAAACTTTTACAGATCTAATGAAGGCAAGTTTTCGTCATCTGTATTTGGAATTTTTGAAAAATGACATGATTTAATCAAGTTTCCGCTCACGTTTTTTAGCCTTTTAATTTGCATTATATTTGGCTAGACACATGTGTGAATAATGGAAGATAAACTTTATTTTCATTCTTGAATGCAGTGGATAATAAATTATCCTCTGGTTTGTGATTAATAAAGTATCTGTAGGCAGAAATGATTGTAATGTTAACTCCATTTCTGTATATTGTCCAAGGAAAGATAAACGGTATTAGCAAAATGCTTAAGGTAAGGATAAATCTTCAATACGTTAAAAAATAATTTGAAAAAATTTAAACAATATATAATTTGTAGATATGACAAATTTCTCCTCGTATCTCTACCAGACATCGGAAACCTTTTGATAAGCAGGGTGTACGATGAGGGGCCTCCAAGGCGGTGCGCATATTTCACAAGTACACATCAACGTAGCCACTGAGGGAGGGGTTTCGAAAATGGACCAATGAGCTTCTTTTGCTCTTGTGACGCTAAATCTTCGTGCATGTGAGCGCATGTTGTTTACGTTTTAATTTGCATTTGTTTCGCAGTTATAAATGTACGGCATGAAAGTAGAAAATCTTGTAGGGCTTTCGTTTTATGAGTTTAATTAATCGCTGACATTTCATTTTGCGATTTTTATCACACATTGATAATTTGGATTGATGTTCACGGCATATTATCGCTCTTTACACCAAGAAAATGGCTCAAGCTACAATTAACCTCGAATATTATGCATTTACTAACAAATGTGGATTAAGAGAATTCATGTGTATACTTATTTTTTATTGAACTGAGAAGGACTGGAAGTATTAAAATGAATGTAGTGTTTGCTTATTTCAGTGCTTGCATTCTTTTGATTTTAAAAGTGTAAGATTCAGAATACATATTGTGTATGATCTGATTATATTCATTGTTAACATTAACAGTTATATGTGAATAAATTGAATATATTTGTTGTGAATAGATAAATTCATTCTGTTTTATGAGTATTTCTTGTGTAGACAGTATATTTAAGAGTGAATAGTTATTAATTGTGAAACTAACACATTAAATGCAAATTAGTGAAGTTTTCACTTTGAATGAAGTTCTGCATTGGCTATTGTTATAGAACATCTTTTTCATATAGACTGCTGACTAAAATGTGCTGACTTCTATTTACATATAATAACTGGTGCAAATATATTTCTCATATGCATAGTGTTATGTAAAGAAAGCATTTGAGCTCAGATGTGTATCACATATTTCTTTTGTCTTATTTATCACTTATTAAGTAATATTTCGCATGAATATTTTTGCGGAGTATCCAACATGTGTTTGTATTTATTTCAAATTCTTTCAACCAGGTAGTGAAATCTTCATAATTGCTTATGTTTGATCTAACTTCAGAAGGAAAATTTTCAGAAGAAATAGACTATGTGCAGAAATTTGTACATAAAATTGCGTGGCAAAATATTTTCAGCCATCTTGCTTAAATCTTAAAGCGTGCGAAAGGTCATGTGACATGACAGTAATATTTACTGGATGCTCATTGGTCCATCCTAGAAGGCACTCCCTCGGTGGCTATACAGATGTGCATTTGTGAAATATGCTAGCGGTGCACTCTGGCAATGCATAATCCATCACAGTAGCAGGGTAAACAGATACGCAATAAATAAAAGCTTCAAAAATAAGCAAGTGAAACAAACCAAAACAAAAGATTCAGAACGTTCCACTCTGAAATTCCTAGTTTTCATACGGATCATGCTGTTGCAACAGGCTGTTTAAAGATGGGAGATTGCTGTTTAAGCATATTATAATATGCTTAATGGATTCCTTCCTAGTTCTTAACTGTGTTGTAAGTGGCAAGAAAATTATGAGTATAAAACAGATTGGAAACTGTCCATCTTTAGCAGGAAGCATATTTGATGGGCAGTGTGCGCTAGGAAAATCTTCAAGCATTGCATATAAACTGACTATTCTGAAGTGCTTTGATTTTAATAGAATAAAAATTTAATGTTTATTAAATTAGATTATTTTAACACTTTTTATTCCCTTTGAATGCATTTTAAAATTCTGTGTGCGTTACATTTGCATTTTCTATGTTTTTAATTCTTTATGCGTTTGTGCCATTTCTACTTGTTATTGATTAATCTTGTATAAACAACTGCAGTTAAGGCGCAGCTTGGTAAGACACAGGCTTCTTCACTTACGTTATGTAGCATAATTACATTCTCTAAATGCATAAAATATTTACATACTCTACATACATGAAGTACTTACATTTTCTAAATGCTTACATATGTGGCAAACAGAGTTAACACACCTTGACATCTTCTAATGGTATGCCAAGGTATAGTTAATTTGGATAGAAATTAGTATTGGTTAATTGTACATTAAGGAAAAAACGTTTAGTCATCAAAGTTTTGAAATCATGAGGGGGGGGAAGGCGAAATATTTTCCATTACTATAACAGCATCTATCTATAAGCTTTCTATTTTGATTATTTATGCTTTTTTAATCTTCTTAAATGTATAATAAACTTCTGAAACATCTATATGTGTGTTATATCCCATGTGCTTATATTATATCCTACGTGTATAAGTCCAAATCAGCTGATCGTTACAGAAACTTAAATGTGTATTTTTTAGTCTGTGTTTATAGTTCCATTTGTTTAACTTCATTATTTAACATGGGTGCAAGATGTTAAGAACAGGTTTTGGATTATATTGTGCTGAATTATGCACCTTGTGCTTGTTTTCATCACTAGAAATGTACTGTATACTTCTTTTTATGTTTTAGAGCAGTGGGCTGTTTATTTCATCTTATATACCAGGTTATGTTTTTGATTTTATTTTGCTTATTTATGATTGCATATGATTTTTCTTTAAGAGAGCAAAATGAAGTGGTGTTTCAAGTTCAATAAAATATTTTTGCAAATTTATAGGAAATAAGTGGTGAGCTATAAGAATGTTAACAAAGAGCTTGCTCATTATTTTATAAAAACAAAATATCAAATTCTAACTAAATATTTTACTTTTTATAAAAACAGAAACCACAAATTTTTGTGACCAAACAAAAAAGCATTTTAAAATTTAAAAAAAAACTTTAAAAAGGTAATCACAAAGCATCACAGAAATCACATAAGACTATAAGGTATTTCTCCCACCTTCTTAGCATGCCTTCGTGGTGTAGTGGTCTGCATGCTGGGCGCGTATTCCAGAGGACCGCGGTTCGATTCTCGGCGAAGGCGTTGCTCATTTTTCATCTTGCCTGCTTCCAAAAATACAGTGGCGCCCGAACTAAACGAGTGGTGGGTGATGATTCTCCACGCCCAGGATTTGGCGATTGGGTCTTTTAAAATCCCAGTCGGCCTTTAAAAGGGAGAATATATAAGGTATTTCTCTCGACTTCTTAACGTGCCTTCGTGGTGTAGTGGTTTGCACTCTGGGCACATATTCCAGAGGTCCACGGTTCGATTCCTGGTGAAGGCCTTGATCGAATAAGCAATGATTTTTGAACAAAAATTGTTATGTATGGTTTATTAAATTCTTTGAAAGGTTTCCCATTTAAGAATATCGTTATTAATTTATAGGGTTAATTGAAACTATTTAGTTAATTTAATAATTTATTTATTTAGTTAATTTATAGGGTTAATTGAAACTATTTAGTTTGAAGGGATCCAAAATGAGAGAGCGTATTGAGAAAATGTGCATTACATTACAAAGTAAGAAAAAGTAAAAACAATTGTAGAGCGAAAAATCCTTTTCACCTGGCCCCAGATTTTGAAGTAATCATTTGTGCTTTCTGTTACTATTAAAAACGAGCCGAAAATATGGAAAAATGTACTTAATTAGCAATTCGACTTACCTCAACAATTATTGAGCTTGGACTGCCTGTAGTTGCAAACATTTGCTTCAAGATTATTCTGATGTGTGAGAAAAATGCAGCATTATTTTTCTTGGTAATACACGCTGGGTAAAATCAAAATACACATTATTTCATTTTAATTTTTTGTTTATTACAAATTCGCTTTCTGTGTGAGGTAACTGAATTTGTGTTTTTGAAAATGAATATACTCGTATTTAAGTTTCCAAACTATATTAAATGTATTTTTTCTAATTAAAATATAATTTTCATAAATATAAATAAAAACCTTCAAAGCATTCTCCACCATTGTATTCAACACAAAACGCTTATGAAAAGAAGGAAAGCTTCTAACGTTCTTTGGCTTCCATAGAAATAACGTAAACCAATTTGCTTCTGTGTCGTGGAAATCGTGGAGGGCCAAATTATCATCCCAAATCTCCAGGATTACAAGAAACTGAGGAATATGATATAAACCCAAGAAACTTGCATGATTCGTTATTTGAAAAAACTTTTTGAGGTGTTTTAACCCTTTAACTGTCAAGTTATTTTGATGATTTGGGTACACAAATTGTCAAATTTTTTTATCCCAAAAACCAAATGTTTAGTACAAAATAAAATATACTTAAGTAGTTAAAAATTGATATTTTGACGTACATGGGTAAAATTTTTAAAGTTTTGTAGCCACTGCATATTTTCTTTGAGGCGGCTACTACTCAACAAAGCAGTTGCAAAGTTCGCTTCTAGTGGAGCATTATTTTCTAAAAATGAAAAAAATTAATTATTTCCTAAAACAAAAATAAATATAAGTGAATACCTATTAGTAGTTCAGTAATTCAGTCTTGTGTGGTACAACTGGAAACACTTTTCCAAGCACAAACCAACTCCACAATCACTACACCAGAATCGTGATTTCTTCCTTATATTTTCCCCATTTTTATCCTTTTTCGAACAACACACTTTGCACTGTCTTGTAGGCTCACGTTTCGCAGGAATAGGAGGAAAATGGGATATAAAATGTCGTTCAGTAAGACGGCGGGTTATCTATTGTAGGTGGTCTGCCAACATTCTTTTGTCCAGAAGCTGCATCATCATATTTATCTAAAAGCTCTTCTACAACTTGGATTCGAAATTCTAAAAATGTAATACGTTTCCCAACTACATTTTTATAGAGCAAATATGAGTTCCAGAGTACCTTGTCTAGTAAATGTAAAAATATCTTTTTATATATTTTTTTCTGACGTTTTCGGATTGTTGGATGAAAGGATATTTCCTGATCACAGCGATCTACACCACCCATAGTTTGACCGTAATTAGAAACAATCTTCGGCTTGAGTATATCTCCATTTTTTATTTTTGAGGCTGACCATGGAAGTATCATGAATACTGCTCATCAAACCACATCCTTCATCTTCGGTTTGAAGAATCTAAATCATCTATATAACGTTTCAAAGAACTGGACGCTATTTTACAACAAAAAGATCCCATGCACCTTGAACCAAATAACCTCTAACCTTTGAAATCTTCAGTAAAGTGCTGTCATCTATTGAACTGAGCGCACATTAACTTTTCCCGAGATACAGTCGGGTTTGACAAAAAGATGAAGCCGAAATAAACGTCTCCTGATATATCTTCGGGTATAACAATAGGATGCACTCAAAAAAAATTACCCCGAATAATACTCGGGCGTGACATTTTCGAACACCAGTGCTGTGCCCGAGATTATCTCGGGCATGACAGTTAAAAGGTTAAACTCGAATTTTAGTAGATATTTTTTTATTCAAAATAAATGTCACCGGCTTGACCGCTATTTCTTGCATGTGCCAAAAGATGTTAAGGTTAGAAAGATTGGTCCTATAAAGTAAACTTCTGGTATACATTTCCCTCTGCAGTCTGATAGATATTCTGAGGATATTCCGCGTTTTCTAGAGCGTTGTGCGCAGCAGGCCACCCTAAAGAATCAAAAGCTGTCTATTTATAATGGTATTCAATGAAGAAGGTAAAAGTTTGGCGAAATTAATCTTGGGTTATGACACCTATCATTATATTTTCAGAGCTCGTAATCTGACAGCATAAGGTGGCAACAACTTCTGTACGCGAGTTATCGTGATGGAAGTGAAATTTCCAGGCTCATGCAGATAACAAAAAATTCAACTTAAATTTTGATGAGTCTCTATTGAGATATAAAAGAACAGGTAACAGTCTACTTAACATTAATTTCAGTATAAAAATTCGCAGTTTTACTATAGGAAAAACACAATTCTGTCTGATTATAACATGTTAAACTTTCAATGAGGACAGGGCCAAAGAATCTCTAAGGAGAAGAATGAAAGCTTCCATAGACGCAATGTAAACCTGTTTCGCCTCTGCGCCGCTGTACCGAAGAGCCACGGCTATGCAGTGAAACACCAGCGCAGGGTGAAATTTAAACAGCGCAGTTCGAGGAGATAGTACATTTTTTACTTTGAAATAACTCAGAATGTTTTATTTTCATACATTTCTGGAGTTTTATGAGCAAAATATGTTAGTTGGAATTTTGGGGCGAATTATAGAAATCCTGTCCAATTTTTATTTTCAATTTAAGCAGCGAGCCGTACGAAGACAAAATTTAAATGAAATAAATTTCTTAATTCTTTTCTTCTGTAAACTTAAAAAGGGGGGAAAACACATGCCATACAAAACGTAATAAATTTTTATGGATCCATAGTTAAAATTTTACAGTGAAATTTTAAAAGCAAATTTGCAATAACTAACTGAAACAGAAAAAAATATTTAAAGACAATTAAAGGCACCCCTAAATAAATTGAAAACACTGAAATACATTATAATTATCCGACAACAACTTTAAAAACAAACTTACCATGAAAACGTTTAGACAATTATTTGGAATGACCATTGTGAAAACCAAGAGCAAAGTTTTCACCCAATAGCCAAAACCATTTCACTTACAGCATTACATTTAAAAAGTCTAAAAGAATTTCACATAGCTAAAACCAAGTACTTCTGACTACAACAACAAAGAACGTTTTCGAACAACGTGGTAAAAGATTGCTAACATGGCCGACGGCATGCTGCATTCTTTGATGCTGCTTTGTTGCCTCCTGATGTTATTTCGCACATGCGCAGTGAGGTACGGAGGGTGGATAGCTTTGGAATGGTTTGCCCCTTTAAAGTAAGCTTCAGGGATATACATAATGTGTCTCTTCGGTCTGACGGAGCCACATTTGCCCCGGGAAACCTTTACTTCTTTTCCTTAGAGATTCTTTGGACAGGGCCTCCATATAATCTTCTACGTTGGCCATGATTAAACAGTAGTATTCAACAGCAACTATTTACTCGCCGCTCCATCATCTAGCTTGTTCAGCCATACATAGGCAAAGACTTGGACTTATTTTCTTCAGACAAACAACTCTACGGTTCCGGTTACCTACTTATACCCTAAGCTTGTCTCAAAAATCTACATAACCATTTGGAAAGAAAGGGCTGTGTGACTAAATAAGAAGTGATCGTTAAGAGGCAAATTAATAATTAACTAGTTAGTCGAAATAAACTAAATTGTCACAAGGCTACTTGCATACCACCTGGATAGAATCTACACCAGTGCAAAATCGAGACCGGTTTAAGCTACTATGATGCTTATGTGCTGGCATCGCGAACACTTTTCATCTTGTAAAAAGCTTTTGAGCTTTGCCTGAAATTTTGTATCGATTAAGCATTAGCACATTAATGTAGTCAGTAAAGAAAAGAAAGGAAAAAAAGGAAGACAGTTCTATATCTTGCGTTCTCTAGCGTTCGGCTGAAGCGCAAAACATTCGTTAGCAACAACCTCAGGTTATCCCAAGAAAGTTTTTGAATGTTTTTGTGCTATGTGAATATGTTCTTCTTTTCGTTTTGTTCTCTTCATAGAGTCTATAGTGAAACCTGTCTGTATACTTGTGATACTTGCCTTTTATTCACTGCAGCTAAAGAAGTGTTTGAATCATTGGACACCATTGACTTTGTCTGAATAAAATTTGATTGTCTGAATCATTCTAGGAGAAAGCGTTTCTCCTAGAACCTTTAAACTCTTCTTATTTTACAGAAAAAATACTTTAAATATGAGCTCAGATTGATTACGTACTTTTTGGGATTTATTTAGAAATTCTTGATTTGAGTTTTACCTATTCTGTCAAAAATACATTATCCACGTAAAAACTGATAATGCTAAATTTAAAACTGTAGAAATAAGACAGAGATATATGTAGAATACAGTGAAAGGGAATTCCTTACTTTTGTACTTATTTGTCGAATGAAATGATTGTTTTATTATTTCGCTAAAACTCTTAAGAGTTTACAATATGATTTACAAAGTTTCTACCAACTTTATAATGATGTTGTGTAGTTGCAAAAATTAGTGATGTGCCTTTTAATAAATACATGAAATTCTGCGCTGTAAGAAAAGTATTTAAGAACATTAGAAATTATAAAAATAAAGCACCAAGAAAATATATTGAATATTGTGATGTAGCCGTTCCTCAATAGACACTAATGCCAGCTAGCTTTAAAAGGATTTATTAACAGAGCACACAGGAACGGTTACAAACAAAAGAAATATATATAAAAATGAAACATAAACGAAATGGAACATCAAACATTGAGAATAACATAACATAGTAAGCTATCATCATGGCGGCTGGAGGTCGACTGACGTTTTTTCATATCGCCACGAGATGGCGTTTAAATAAAATAGTTCGGTTACAGTTCATGACATGAATAAAATAGTTCAATTACACTTAAATAGGTCTGTTACATCCTCCCCCTCTGACTTCGTAGACGTCTCGGCAAGAAGTCAGGAACTGACATTTGTCTACTTTGTGCAGCGGGCGGAGAATCAGATGGACGGGCTCCAGTTTGACGAGGAGTAGATTTTGCGTCACCAGCACCTTGTGCAACAGGTGTAGATTCGGATGGTATTACACGTTTCGGGCGTCCTCTTTTCTTTAAGGGAACCACTGGAATTACACGAGCTTATTTCGATCTTGATATGGTTTCAAGGCTGAAACATGATACTTGCCGAGAATTTTGTCTGGTTCATGAGGATCGGCAATATCATAAGTGGTTGGAGATCTTGTAGTCACTATCACATAAGGACCATCTCTCTTCGGCATGAATTTAGCAGTTTTCTTCAGTGGACCTTTGCTGATTGGGTGGAGGGTGACCCTAAACTTTATCTCCAGGAACAAATTTCGGTGTTTCTCTCTCGTCGTTTTTTGTCAGCATATCGTTTCTGCTTATCTTGATGCAATTTCGACTCTTTCTCGTACCTGTTGTACATTTCTTGCAAAACGTGTCAAATATGGAGTAATTTCTGGAACAAAATTATCGTTCTCAATTACGGCTTTTATATCATGCTTTACATCATCTAAGGTTCGTAACTCTCGTGCAAATTGAAGAAAAGAAACAGAATGTCCAGTTGAATCACATTTGGCTGTATTCAAAGCAAACCTTATTACTGGCAGTTTATCCTTCTATGACTGATGGTCGTTACCAACAAGTATTGCTAAACGTGGTTTCAGATCTCTATTCTTCCTTTCAACTGGGTTAGATTGTGGGTGATAGACAGGAGTAAGACTTTGATCAATGTTCAAGATATAGCATAGTTGTTGCATAACAGCACTAGTAAACTGGGTACCATTATCACTTATTATTTTCCTGGGTAACCCAAATCGAAGGGCGACTTCTCCAAAAGAATAGTGGCACATTCTCTGGCCGTGCCTTCCTTTAAAGCAAATAGTTCTGTCCACTTCGTGGCACAGTCCTGCACAATAAAAATCCATTTTTCACCAGACGGTGTTTCATGAAGGGGACCGAAAAGATCAATTGACAAGGTCTCAAAACGTTGAGCATAGACTGGAGTTTGAAGTAAGCCAGATGGCTTTTGATTAGTGGCTTCTCCCCCTACTTTGAAGACAGTGTGATAATTGTTAAGCAATGCATCAGTTGCAAGCCGTTGGGCTGTAGTTAATTGTTGTCCTTCATTTTCTCGTAGTTGGCAGTTGTTGTAAACAACTGGGGTTTCTTCCAGTACTTGGGATTGATGAGGTTTCACGAAGCTATATTTTCTTCGAGGTTCATCAGAGAAGTTCCACCTATTTTCAGCAAGATTTAAAACAATTATAGCTTTTTGAAGAAAGTCAATTCCTAACAGAGTCGAGTTATTTTTGGCATCAGGCAACACAAGGAGCGGAGTTTTGAACTCTCTGCCTTTGAGAAGAATGATTTGTTCGGTGCGAAGTACCTCTTTTTCAGATACCAAACCATCAGCGAAAGACACCTCTAGTGTTGTCTTTTCAAATACTGCATCTTGTTTTGCAGAATATGATAGAGGGATTCACTTGCAATTGAGTGACTAGCACCAGTGTCGGCGAAAGCTGTACCGGAAACACCACCAATACTAATTGGAAATACAGCAGTCCGAGTGGAAGATAAACAGGATCGGATTTGGATAGTGCCAAAATTTGATGAATTTGAAGTCTTTGGGGGGTTACAGTCTGGACATTTAGACTTGATAAAACCAGTTTTTCCGCACCCATAGCATGTTAAAGGAGGTCGCTTTTCCTCTGTTTGTTGCTGAACACGATTTGAAAAGGTTTTATGAGTTCCCTGTATGTCACTTGTTCGATTTTCTACTTTGTGTTTGGATGGATTAGTCGGTTTGTAAGAATAGATTCGCCTGCCAGGAAGTTGAGTTTTATAGTTCGTATTTTTAACACGTACAGCTTCATAATCATCCAATTTCTGTACTAATTCAGATGAACTCTTTATTTTTTCCCCAAGTATCAATAAATGCTCCTTAACGTCACTACTGACTCTTCTTTTAAGCTGATCCGTCAGGACCAAGTCTTTGAGTGATTCAAAGTCTGTATCATCGAGACTATGAAGCCACTCTTCGAGATAATTGTTTAATTCGTAAGCAAAATCTTTCCATAATGGACCCCAGGGTGTTTTTGGTGTGTAGTAAGTTTAATTCGAAATGATTCAGCATTTAATTTGAATCTTTGTAGCAGAATCTTCTTGATGTAAGAATAATCTTCTAATTTGTCTTTTGGTTCTCTTAAAATAATTTGCGAAATGTCTATAGGCAGAAGAGGTAGGAGATGAGTGATGTAATCTATTTGTTTTATATTAACTTTCTCACATTGTCTTTCAAAAATTTGCAGGTAGGTTGCAATGTCAGAAGTTCCTGTAAATTTAGGGATTAGGTGTTGAATATTTTGTTCCAATAGCTGCATTTGAAGCAAAGGCGGCATAGTTAGGGTTTGAGCTAGCAGCTGCCAGGTTTAATTTTAAACGTTCCAATTCTAATAAAAGTTCTTGTTCTTTTCTTTGACGTGTTCTCCAGATCGTTGCTTTCACGTTTTTTTTGTTGTCTAGTTTTCGATTAAAGTTTCCAGAAGATTCCTGGTAAAAGCCTCATAATAAGTGTCAGAATTGACAATAAGATCTTTAAGATCTATTACTCGCATAGTGTCGTTTACAGTGAAACCCAGTTCTGCAGCGAGAGTTTTTAAATCCTCTTTTCGTGCTTTGGCAAGGTAAGCCATAATTATATGAGAGGTTAGGGGGGAGGGAAAAGATGAAGTTGAATTTGTTGTTATTTCGATTTTATTCACAATACAGTATTTTAGAATTAATAATTATACCTTTAAGTAAAATGTATATACCTCTATTAAACAGCACGTATGAATGTAAACAATGTTACTCGTACATTTATATACCACTATTAAACAGTATTTATAAATGTAAACAATAATACTCACAAAGTTTTATTATTTCGGAGTCGTAAAAATATCATAAAATGCCCTCATAAATTCAACTTGTATCAAGAAAATAACATATAATAAATTGCTCAAAAATTGTTTACTACTTAGCAAAACATACAAAAACATAGATAAATGTCTTACCATAAGCTTTTATATTTAAGCTGAATTCTTCGAAATCTTAATCTTAACAAAATATTAAGCTGATTAAGCAACACACACTTAGTAACTCTTTTACATTATTTAAATAGTCATTCGATTTTATTCATAATTATTTTCTTTCGCTTCAAGAAATATTTTCAAGACATGCATTCATTAAAGGAAAACAATCGTATTTTCTTAAAGTATTATACTATAATCATTTTCTCAAAATGTTTGTCGAAAGATAAATCAACAAGGACAATATTTTATGTAGAATAAAACATTTAATAAGGAACAACAGCACTGAAAGGAAATAAAAATAATAAAAGATTTGACGTAAATACATCATAAATCATCGCTAGTCTAAACATTTCCGCGGGGAAAACATCTGCTGCTGTATGTCAGAAGCGAAACTAATAAATTCTAATGAACAACGTCCATGAATATATTCAAACTTTAACATCAAAACATGTATTCAGTGAAATAATATTATTCACAAATTAATTTACTATGCGCATTAACATTTTAAAATAACAAATTACAATTCAAGAAATAACGTTTGGTTAACAGAAAGCCGTTTGCTTTCGTTTAATACTCTTATGTAGTATCAATAAATGAGATTTCAGTAAAGAATTTACATTTGCTTTAAGAAGCAGCTTATAATAAATAATCAGTTTAAAAGAACTTTAAACTCATATTAAACGATAATGTAAACGAAACTTATCTTTTCCGTTGAAATTGTCCAGTTGATGATTCGATGTGCTAGCAGCACGGTATGACAATTTTAATTCCAGAATTGGTTTCCAGAATATTTGACCAGTAGTCCACACCTGAAAAGAAACTGAGCCGATCTCCAGCAACTAAAAGTTAAATTCGGGAGTAAGAGCTTGTTAAAGCCAAACAGAAATTCTAAACATTTTGTTGCGCCATTTTGGATTCAAATTCAGTTGGGCGCCAATGTGATGTAGCCGTTCCTCAATACACACTAATGCCAGCTAGCTTTAAAAGGATTTATTAACAGAGCACACAGGAACGGTTATAAACAAAAGAAATATATATAAAAATGAAACATAAACGAAATGGAACATCAAACATTGAGAATAACATAACATAGTAAGCTATCATCATGGCGGCTGGAGGTCGACTGACGTTTTTTTCATATCGCCACGAGATGGCGTTTAAATAAAATAGTTCGGTTACAGTTCATGACATGAATAAAATAGTTCAATTACACTTAAATAGGTCTGTTACATCATTCATTTTCTGTGTTCTGATTATCATATCCACTAACGGAGGTGCGCATTTATAAGAATATCGAATGTAATGGGTACATTCGTCAGAAGTTCGAACGTGTACAGCTCCATACTTATAATCATATGATCGAACAGGGGATACGGGATACCGAAAACTTGAGTATTAGCTGCTATACTTCAATACACCACTAATAATACCACCTCAGAATCTGCTTTACTACTGACAGCATTGAAGCGACCCTAGAAGTTGCCCCATATTATTCTTTTGAGATAACAGTTTTTTTCCTTTGTGTGTAGGCTTGTTTTTAAAATATTTTAACGTTTACGAATGCTTTTGGTAGGAAATAATATGCAATTAAACTTTGACTAAAAGCAATACTATTATCGTATTCTAATCATTAAATTCGTATTTAGAAATGGAAGAAAATTGGTACAAAAGAGATTTAAACAATTCTTTTATTTCTAAAAAAGAAAGAAGAAAAATGAGTGATAATAATAAATCTGTTCTCCAAAACAGTTTACATCTAGTACGCACGCACAAATAAAACATTATGTTAGTAAAATGTTTCCTGAGGTTTCGATTTGTATGTTACCAAACTGTGCACTTGCTTTCTGGATTCATTGGGGAACCTGAAGAACAGTGAAAGTCTTCCGAAAACTCTGGTAGATTAGACAGTGGCCCATTCACTCTGAAAAATAAGACGTCTCTTAAGTAGTTTTATGTAGAGCAAGAGTGATAAATAACTATAGGTTAAACGTGAAATAGAGTTTAGGCATTTAGCCCTTGCATATCTTAATTAAATAAACTAATCATTCATTTAATACAGTTCCTTTCAGACATCTTATTCCATTTTAGGATTAATTTATGAAACTTAATTAAATTAAATTTTCTAAATTAAGAGAATTTTAAATGTAGGTACCTTGAGAGGAACAAGGGACTCGCTACCTGTCCTCCAAGATCAGAGGGAGAGACCGTATGGGAGCAAAGGTTTGATAGTCTGGGCAGGGAATTATGTTGGATGGACGCACAGATCTTCATGATACAGACCTGTTGTCAGATTTTAATATGTGTGATTGCTGCAAGGTATAGAAAGGATCTCAGAGCTCTTTCTGTTAGTTTTCTCGGGGGTATAGTCGGCCTTCACTTAATTTTTATAGACTGTAATGCTAGTTCAAATATAGCTAATTTGGTGGATGGTTTTTCTGAAAAGTGAAAATATTAAATGGATGGATCAAGCAGCCAAATCTTCAGAAATGGATACCCACAGAACATGCATAGAACGCCCTTGAGAAGACAAATGCAACTCGCCTTCCTTCCCGCAAAACATTCTACGATCTGAAAATTGGTTTGTTGCTGAAGTGTTATTGACTGCAACAGTTGCTCATAAACAGCATCATTTTCAGTATGAAGATGATTGTAGATAATTTCAGTATGAAGATGATTGTAGATAATTTCAGTATGAAGATGATTTTAGATGAAGATATTGCAGATGATTTTTCTGGAAAGTGAAAATATTAAATGGATGGATCGAGCAGCCAGATCTTTAGAAATGGATGCCCACAGAATATGCATAGAACGCCCTTGGGAAGGTAAATGCAACTCGCTTTTCTTCCCTCAAAACATTCTACGACCTGAAAATTGGTTTTTTGCTGAATGGTTACTGACTGCAACAGTTGCTCATAAACAGCATCATTTTCAGTATGAAGTCACGCTATGAGAAATGTTTGGGACCATATCTCTCTATCGTCCATCTTCTAATAAAATGTTTTTTACAGCATGATTTTTGAATATGTAGAAGGTCTGAAATCAGGAGCTCTGAACAAAATAGAAAATAATTTCATTGTAAGTCAGATGTGTCCGTTTGAAAAAAAAAAAAAGGATTTGTTCTATATGTCTGGGGTTATTTCTTATTAGACATGCTGTGGGACTTGGTAAAGGTATAATTAGTAACCAAGCTGTTTGCAAAAGCTTATTATGGGAGAAGAGTGATAAGAAACTTATGTTTCTTTTTTGGGGGCTTTTCAAAAATCGTAGTTTCATAACTGTTTTTTGCCCTCACAGTTCTAATTTGCCTTCGAGAATGCGAAAGATGACATCAGACATAAGTGCGCCAAATGTCAGTTGATTAGTAAAAGTGATAAATAGCAAAATGCGCCCAAAAAGAGGAAGGGAAAAGGACAGGACCAAACGAAGGACAGAGGAGGAAAAGGACTAAAATTTTTGCAACTAGCTGACCGAAGGATCGGCTTCCTTGAATGATAGTCAATAATAATCAATTGAACAACTCTTCCAAACTGTTATTTAATGGTGATGGAAAGTGTAATACCGTTCTTTGTTATCATTAAGTATTAATCTACAAGAGTTGTTCTAAGTTTTATTTACGAGCTAATGTTTATTTGGGCTAAGTTTTATTTATGAGATCGAGGCAGATTAACTGTGTATTTTCTTTCTCCTTACAGTATACAGTGTAAAATGTAACTGACCTTTGTGGTGTAATTGGAAATATGTCTGACTAACAATCGAGTTGTCAAGGCTTCCAATCCCAGCGAGGGTATATATTATTTCTCATGTTTCCTGCTCCATTAAAGCGAATGAATCTACAAACTGACCATAGCTTGGCTAATTCGATGATGATCAGTGTCATTATTTACTGTGTGTTCAAGACGTTTCAAGATTGTTATTTAGTGTGTGATGGAGTGAAAGGAAAGTGAGAATGCCAATTAGCTTGAGATTTTAAATTTCTTTCTTACGACTGTGAAATATGTGAAAATTCTTGTCTATTGATATTTAAGAAGATTCTGTTTCCTGAATGTTTTTTGTTAATTTTCGGTTTTGATAGTCCAGAATTTCTCGATGCAAACGTGTGCCCTTGACATGCGGCTCCTTACTGTAAAGACTTGTACCGACCAGCTTACGAAAGTATAAAATACGTTGTATGAAGAATTAGCGAACATGTCGGACAGTGTGAGGAGCTCATCTACTATTCTTCAAATCTGTTTTGGGAAAGTGTGTGTGTTTGTGTGTGTGATTATGGCAAAGCCTCGAGGGCTATCCTGTTTTGGGAAAGAAATGTGAACGTCACTCAGGCATATCCGCTGATGATAGTTCATGCAGGTATACCTTATTCCTCATAGAACGTACTTAATGAATTATTTAGTAATTCTAACAGGGTCAAAATTTTCCTATGCCTGTTACGTATTTATACAGTAAATTCACTCTTCATTGGTATGCTGTTATTTCATAATTTAGACCTTTCTAAGATATTTAATTTATACTGAATTTTGCCGTAGTTATCAATTTTAGGCAAATATTACGAGTTTTAATTTGAAGTGATGGAAAAAAATGACTTCTCACTTGTGTACTGTGATTTGTTATTTAATATTTCCCTAAGGTATTTAAATTATACTAAATACTCGCATGATTAGCAGTTTTATGTCAATATAACGAGTTTTAATCTGAAATGTTTACGAAATTAATGAATAACCTAGTGGAAATATTAAAAATTATATTTTTTAAATTATACATTATCTTGTGACAGGGAGGGACATTTTGGGAATCTAAGATAGTGTTTTATCAAATGGAGTCTTGAGTTGCAGTGATTTTGGTTCTACTCTAAAGATCTAGATTACTCCTAAATTTCAATTTATGCACTTGAACGCTTTTCCCTCACAAGAAGAACGACCACAGATTTTTATTAAAATAAGTTACTGTTCTTCATATCAGCATATCCTCAAACTCTCTGCACTACACTTGAGATAATATTAAACCATTGAAATATGGAGAAGATTTTTGCGTTCATCAAAACAAGAGACTCTATTAATTAGCGATAGAAATTAAAGTAAGAAATAGAAGTAAGTTTGATTCTGGTCTTATCTGAAACTAAACATTTCAAATGGTAATGCAGATTTTGAACATGTTCACATAAAAATTGCTGTATATTCTGATAAAAAACGTTTTAACATATGTATATCATCATAAGAAGTTTAACTTACTTTAATAATTATTCATAATTCACTTACCTAAATTTTGATGGACTATGTGAATCAGAAATAATGTCCAACGATAGAACTTCTGGTCTTACTTTCGCACACTCTACCTGTAATATTTTACTGGAGTTAACATTTTTCCTTGTGGTCACGCCATTTCTTACATAGACCACAACACTAAGCAAATATAATGTATTTAAATGATTTCATCATTTACGTTAGAAATCAGATACAGACTTATAAGAATTGAAAGCTCAAAATTGAATGCATTTCTTCTCATTTGTTAAACTCTCCCATCAAAGTACCTGCAGTATCTTACAGAAGTGATGGGGCATTTTCGGTTCTTGAAAATAATGTGAAAAAGTTTAAATGTTATTTGAGGTTTTGTTTCAGGGTGCAACTAAAATTATAAAATTTGATTTTCTTTGAAGTAAGCTTTTACTTCACATTTCTTTCACGATAAATATTTCCCCAAAAGGAGAGATACATCTCAGTATGAGACTCTTCAAACTGCAAATAAAATCATCTGCAATGAATGCAATATGTGCATTTAAGATGTTATTTTGAATTGAAATACTGCAGGCAATATCCGAAACCCTATTTTCTTTATTTGTTAGAATTTATTATATTTTAATATTTGATTATCATGGTTTCTTATTGAAAGTACATGTGATTTGAAAATTTTTCACCGTTTTCAAAACTGCAAAGAAAGAATGTGAAATCTATTACGTTAATTATCCGCTTTAATGTTTTATTTATGTTTATGAGATTATGAGATATCACTCAATACAATATTATGCAAAGGACGAAAGTATATTAGTGTAAGCTAATTAAAGTAAAGAAGACTGGGGTTTACTAAACATGAAACACAGCATTATTAATCATGTAGAATATTCGTTAAGTCTGTTAAAATATTAGTCTATAAAAATAAAAAAATATGGTATGTTAGGTATTACTGCCAAATAATAAGTTATACTCCAATGGAAGAACAGAAAACAGAATTTACACAATTTGTGTTTTTTTTTGTCATGCTTGACATATGTTAAAAATGCAGAACTGCTTGTTTGTCTACTTCTGGAGAAATACATAAGAAGAAGAATATAGGAAATCTTATAGAAAGTAAAGTACGTAAAAGTTAGTGTTACAACACTTTTATGACACATGGAAAAAGTTAAACAAATGTGCGGTCACCCCTGATCAAATGTATGTTTTTACAAAGATTTGCCGTGTTGTGTATAAGACTGTTCTAGGAGTCTCTGCTGTAACAAAGTTTGTTCACAATGAATAGCGCCTTATAGCTCTTAAAGAGTACTAAGGGGGCTGCAATGATGCACATCAACATTCTTGTACACCCGCAAATATTCTGTTAGATTTAAATGCGGAGAATAGGCGCGCCACTCTATCCACTGAATTGCTTTTCTGAAACCTCGGTCGCTGTTTCAAGACAAGCATTGTGTGAAACGAGTTTCAAAACATTTTATGCCCCGGTTAATAGGTTAAGAGAGTAGAGTACGGGCTGGATAGCTGCATTTGAAAATGCAATTAAGAGTAATAAGACTATAAGTTTGAGTTTAGTAGTCAAAAATCTTCTGCGCGTATCATGACGTAAGAATTGATCTCGAATTAAAATTAAATTTTAGGAAATTTTATAGTCTGTAATTTATATTTCAGAGCTGATGTTTGAAGCAACTAATATTTATCATTAGAAAAAATTTTAATCCTAAGAGACAAAGAATTTTTAAAATGTTTATATTTAATTTGGATCCCACACAGTGAATTTTTCGCGTACATTTTATGCACTATGAAGTAAATATATATATATGTAAAATATAAAAGAATACGATGGCTCTGCTTTTCGCTAACACGCAACCTTTAATTAACTTTCTGCAATTTAGAATCTTTTCCCTAGACCAGTACCTTCTAGAATTTGCTAGTCTATTACGTAACCGCTACTATAAATAACATAAATAACGAATGCGCGTCATTTTGCGTCAGTAGAATTCCTATCTCTGTTCAAAATTAATTTAATTCTAATTTTTCAAATTTCTTTCCTGATTATGACTTTTAATACCTGATCTAGACTTAAACGCTATGCCGAAATATCACATATATACGACGGTATCAAATGTATGGACATACATTAGCCGCACTGATCCAGAACAACTGATTTTGAGTATACTTCAGTCCTGGTAGCTTTGTCTCCCTTCCATGGTCCCTTACCCATGTTTGATATGCCTGTAAAAAGTAAAAATGTTTACAAAAATTATTATGTTTCTAACACAAAAATTGAAAAAATAATTTTGATACAGCAGTTGCTGAAGTTGAAGAAAAAGGATATCGAAACATAAATTATTAGAAAAATAAAAAGGAAATTATCTACAATGTTTTCTGAAGTTAAGTGAACTTTCAGAAAGTTTTTGTTGATTTTAGTTGTTTAAATTTTCAGTTATGTAGCATTTAACTGCATCTGAAATCTGGGATTAGACTAAAGTGTATTAATGAATTCGCTAGACGTAAAAGAAACACTTCAGTTGCTTGGTGGTCACAAATGTTCATCCAAAACCTTTTAGTTCGGGCGCCACTTGTAGCATCATTAGTTTTTTTTTATGTTAGACACGTGAAAAAATGCGTATTGCTCTTGCTGGGACTCGAGTTCTGGACCTCCCGAATATGCGTAACGAAAGCACGCGGAAAAGAGATAAATATCTTATAATATGTAAAGGAAAATTCTGACTTTAATTTGCAATAGTCCCTTAATCCTTATATTAGTTTTTTGGTATTTCCACTTTCTATGGTAAAAATAATAACTGCTTACATAAGAATTCTTTCTAAGCTGATTTTTTTAAAATTAACCTATTTCATATGAATTTTACATAATGCTAATGATGCAAACACTTTCATAAATTTTAGCGAATAAGATTTAAAACCGGAACTGAATCGTTTTGTCAAAAGCCAATAGAAATATTGTGAAGTGAAATTCAAATTATTCTAAACGCAATTTCCATTTCAGACACGTCGCATTTTTGATGCTGCTTCCTGTTAATGCTTCCCTGCTTAGCTCTCTTGTTTATAAAATCTATTGCCACACAATTCGTTACTATAAGAAATATAAATTGTTTTATAAAGAGTAAATAATTATTTTAATATAATTTTATGAATATTTAAAGCCAGATTTTTAGGTCTTGTACTGACCATAACAATTTTATAAAAGGATTACAAGAGGAGGATTGTAAATGTTAAATAATGATACTACTCCAGGATTTTCAAGAAACTACCAGCTCCTCATAATTATTTCTTGCAAACATGTTAGATTACAAAATTAGGACGGTTTTAATAATGTTTTATTTTAAGATGAATATTTAATTAAATGATAAAGATTTTATGATAAAGGAACTTTTTAAACCTTTAAGTTGGATTTAGTTTTATACATTGAATAATGTTAATTTTTATAACACTTTTTATGCATAAATTTCTATCATTAGTACGTAAAATGTCAGGACTACTGTTCTTTCTAATAGAATGGAATGGAATATTCTGTTATGGCAAAGCACAAGAGGGCTATCTGCCTAAAGGGAGGGATGCCTTTCGTGGAGGACTTTCTAAGGGAAACTGGCTCGTATACACGTTACACATGGGGAAAACCACGAAAACGCCCATGCAGCCAGCCCGTTCGCGGGATTCGAACCTCAGACCGAACTACCAGTGTTCAGCATCTTTACCGCTCGGCCGCTGGTGGGCCATTCTGTCTAATAGCATTTGGGAACATCACTGGAGTCCTGAGTAGGAACAGGGACTTTACTCAAAACTATGTTCGTGTGAGTGTAGATGATACTGTTACGTTTTTTTTCTGACACCAGTTGTTACGTTACTTTCTTCCTTCACGTTCGTACGGGGTTTGTGTGGATTTGGAGTGAATAACGACGACGCTTGATGAAGTATCGAAACACACTTTATTTAGCCAATATTAATCAGAACAGCTCCAAAGTCACGTTTTGCAGTCGTCGAAGATTTACTATAAACACGCTGGAACAATCAGCGAAGCAGCCTTCACACTATAAGGCTATAACGGTGGAGACAGCTTCACTCCACAAAGCACCAGAGTGCAGCTCCCGACTCTGCTCGGTCGTTCTTGGAACTCCACGTACTCTCGAGACTCTCTACGCTACAACTTGCACTGGGCGACACACAGAACACAGCTCCCGACTCTTCGGTTCAGTCGTTCCCGAGCTTAACACACTCTCTCGACGATTCACTAACCGCAATACACTAAGAGACTCTTCGATGCACTCGACGACCCACTCGGCACTCGCTGATTGTCTATCAACTCGATGGATGGACTCTCACTAACACGACACTAACTCTCCGCGCACCAGCAGGGTTTATATAGCTTTTGGCTTGTGTTCGAAAAATTCTGGGCTAAACCAGTAAGAATTCGTTCCAGAAGGTTCTTCACCCGTCCATGACATATCGCCAATTTTGTCGCCAAAACCGGCGATTTCTCGCCAAATGTGGCAACCCTGCCTTTCCTTGCCATTTTATGGCAACCCTAAAACTGCTTTGCGAGGAAGCCATCTTACTGCGCCTGCACATTTCGTAACAATACGAAAAAAATGGGAAGGGTTAAACTACCCTGTATTTCTCCCAGCGTGCAGCCCGACTTCGGGATACAAAACCAGCACTTAAGTCTCAAACTTAAAAAATAAGAAAAGCTAACTAAATTAAATAAGAACTAAACTCAGATACTTCACAAAAACTAGTAACGCGAAGATGGGCCCTTTAAATTGTACGTACGTAGTGAGCAGAATGAGTCAAGTATCAAGGAGAACTAAGCTCTGGCCTTAAAGGCAGACAGGAACTGACTAAAAAACCCGCGCTTGGTAAGGCAGTGAGAAGTTTCTCTCTAACTCTCTATTTTTGGGTAAGAGCCATGTCTTAAATATTTAAGACATGGCTCTTACCCAAAAATAGACAGTTAAATAAAGAGAATAAATGCGAACAGATTTTGTTATGCAAATTGTGCTTCTGGCCGGTAATGGAAAATAAGAGAGACTAGAAAAGTTTTAAAATAAAACAAACGTTAGTAAAAACTTAAAATCCTCACAAAAAGAGTTGAAGAACCAAATGACGGAATATAGTGAAACTTAAAGCTACGGCCTTGATAAAAATCTTTTCTCTTTTACATTTTGGCGTCTTTAAAAATTGTATACCTTGTATAGAAATGCTTATTTTTCATTTCCTTACGTTTTAACGTTTTTGCTCTAAAAAAAAAAGGCTTTCTTTTGCAAAGTCCTTATTTGTTTGCTGGCGATATATAAGAAAATAATATGTAAAATCAAATTCTAACTAAAACCTAAGTTGAGTGGTTGTTTTGCTAAAAAGATATTTTAAATGGTGAGTACTCCGTCAGGTCCCTTAAATTTCGTTTCCGCTTTTTGTATTAGAATAGTACCTACTTTTAATAAATCACTCTAAACTGCTACATCTCTACATTGATCCATGCTATATTATTATCGAATACTAATGAAGCAGGCACTTAAATAAACGCTTTAGCTAATAAGATTTAAATTTGGGACCAAAATGTTTTATTAACAGCCAATAGGAAAATAAGTGAAAGTCAAATCACTCTGAACCCTACCTTCATCTTGGACATGTCACATTCCTGCTATCTTGTTAAGATGTCTCTTACCTCTCTCGTTCATCACTCGTATTCGCATAAGATGTAGAATAAACAAAATGTGATCAATACGGGAGAGAAGAATGCGCTCATTGTGGCACATATAATTCATATTTAAGATGGTGCTTCTCAAGAATAAAAACAAAATTTTTAAATTGGTCGATACGACTGAGACTTCTTTGCTTAAATTATTACACACATAAACATATATGTGTAATTAATTAATTAAATTATAAGTAATATCTTTTGAATTTTAATAGTGCACACACACACATATATATATACTAGAAAGCTCGGCGGTCATACGAAATGACCGCTGTTCTAAATATTATAAATTGTAATTAAAATGATTTGTGCAAAGGTGTCTGCTAATTTAAACTGAATTACCCAGAGCAGGCGGCGAGGACGCTCCTTTGCTTACTGCCCCACGGGGTTTCCCCCTTCTACTTGCTTAATTGCTTAAAGTAGAGTGCAATGAAGGAAACCACTGGCTGCACATTTCTTAAGAGCCACCGCTAACTCAATCAATAAAGGTGATTTAAATAATGAAATATTAATTCATGTGTCAAAGATCTCTTTGTACACAACGTTTCTTGTGTAGATCTTTCCATCATTTTTAAGCTCGACTTCCAGAGGACCATCCATTATTTGAATTTTACTTCCGTTCTTTCACGAACTCTTAAACAGGCAACAAAAGTTGACCGTGTTCAAATGCAGGTTCAGGTAAAAATATGCCACCATGCTTAAGCGTTAGGTTCTGAGACTTATGGATGGTCATAGCAAAGGCAAGTTTTACAGGAAATTGTCTACGTCTCAATTGAAACGGCAACCCTGTGCCGTAGCAACTTCAGCCCATTGGCTAGTACAGTTACGAAAGCAACCAATAAACTATCGGTGACAAACAGACACTTAAGCCACACATATATATATGGGGTGAAGTAACATCATCTCCTCCGAAATGGCTGGCTCCCGGGCTTACAGAAGCACAGCATTGGATTCCGCAGGTCCGTCGCACGCCATTTTGACCATTCGCGTCTTCCTTGCACTTTAATTAGCCGAGATATTAATTAAAAACTAATTTTCCCCTACGTTTTCCCTACATTCACCACTTTCTTTCTTGGGTTTTCCCTATTAGAGGGATTTGGCTGCGTGCCAAATTATTTTTTCTCGAATATCTACGGAACGGCGCCGAATTGAAATTCGAGACGCGTATCCTCGGATTCCAAAAAATTCTCCGAATCCATCGATACCGTTCTCATCTTCGTACGACTTTAACCGGCCGAGATATTAATTAAAAACAGCGGAAACGCTAATTTCCGCGCTCATTTTCCGAATTGCAACAATAAACTATCGGCGACACACACTTTAGCCGCTTATATAAAGAAGATGGGGTGAAGTAACATTATTTTCTCCGAAACGACTGGCTCTTGGGCTTAGCGAAGCACAGCGTTGGATTCCGAAGGTCCGTGGCACGCCATTTTGATCATTCGCGTCTACGTGGGACTTTAATTAGCCGAGATATTAATTAAAAACTAATTTTCCCCTACGTTTTCCCAACATTTTTCACTTTCTTTCCTGGGTTTTCCCTAGTAGAGAGATTTGGCTACGTGCCAAAATCTTTTTTCTCGAATATCTACGGAACGGCGCCAAGTTGAAATTCGAGACGCATATCCTCGGATTCCAAAAAATTATCCGAATCCGGCGATACCGTTCTCATCTTCGTAGGACTTTAACTGGCCCAGATATTAATTAAAAACTGCAGAAACGTTAATTTCCGCAATCATTTTTCCGAGTGGCAACAATAAACAATCGGCGGCAAACACTTAAGCCGCTTATATGTATAAATAAATGTTAGTAATATGTAATTTTGTATATGTGTTATGCAAATTGTTGCTCAGATTCTTTATTGTATATTGTTCTTCTTTCCTCCTGATTGCATTTTGTTTTTACTAGTGGCACTAAGGCGTCGCACTTCGTATTTTGTTTCTCTTGTGTGTACATGTATTCTTCTGTGAAATAGTTGTTAAAAAATAGTTAATTATGTAGGGATTAGTAATTAGGTACTTAAGGAAAAAAATATGTATTTATTTAATTATTTAGCACATTCAGTTATATTTCTCATAATTCGAAACTTTTATCATGTTATTCGATGAGGGGTAGGGCTATGCGCCCAGGCACTCTGGTGGTTAAACACCGCAGTTCAATGTATAAATGACCGTTTATTAGGAATTCTCGTGTACAGTAAAAATTAATATTATAACAACTTGTAAAAAAATGTACATGACTGTGATAAATGGGATTGTAATATTTAACAAAAATAAGTGGCAACAGTAGGACAGATTTCTAAAGTGTATGGAATTAAAAAAATGGAGTTTAATAGAGTTGGATGAAGTGGATGAAATGTCCCATTAATGTAACGAAAATTCTCCCCATATATCTGTGTTAACGTGATAATAATATACATTTAAAATATAACCCTTTAAAATGTCCCTTGCTTCACAAACGGAGAATACGAAAAGAAAGCGAAAAGAAACTATAACACAACGCAAGCGACGATTAGAGAAAGAAAAACATAAGCTGCAAGAAAAGCTTCCTGCGAAAACTCTTCGCAGCAAGTCAAGCATATGTCGACTGAGTCGTGTGAAATAATTAGATGGAATATTTGTTCGAGACTCACTGGAAAGGTTCCTTGCAATAATTAAGCATTACAAGAGATGGACAGAATGAGAAGTTATAGATCACCATCAGCTTCATAAATTAGAAACAAAAAAAAAAAAAAAAAAAAAAAAAATAAAAATAATAAAAGGCGACTAAAATAATGTTAATAAAAGGCGACTAAAATAAATTTTTTTGTTTTCCTAAATCGAATTGACTTTAAATTTTTTTATATTACTCATTAAGCCTAATTTTTTTTGTTGTTTTGTTAGTTTTTCTACTTTAGATTTGCCCACCAGCGGCCGAGCGGTAAAGACGCTGAACACTGGTAGTTCGATCCGAGGTTCGAATCCCGCGAACGGGCAGGCTGCATGGGCGCTTTCGTGGTTTTCCCCATGTGTAACGTGTATACGAGCCAGTTTCCCTTAGAAAGTCCTCCACGAAGGCATCTCTCCTCTTAGGCAGATAGCCCTCGAGGCTTTGCCATAATCACACACACACACTACTTTAGATTTAGTTTTTGATAATTTTCCATTTTGAATCTAAATTGGAATTTAATTTTTGGAAATTTAGGTTGTCTTTTTATTTAGATTTTGCTTTCTATTATTATTATTTATTTCAAATTCCACATATTCAGTGCTTAGGTAATTTTGTCGTTTCTGTAAATTTAATTTTTTTCAGTTAATTGCCTTTAGCTTAAAAACTTGTACCAACTTGATATTCCCAGTTAATACTTTTAAATTTAGTATGATTTTGTTCCCCTTGTTTAAAATTTCCGATTTTTCTTTGTTTTTATTACTTATTTATACAATTTTTTTCAGTTCAGGTGTATCGTGGTCGGTTTTATCTTAATGCTTTATTTTTTAAAAATGTGTTAAAAGTTTTCTTAAAATATGTTGCTTTAAATTTTATATAAATATATTTTTATTTAATTACTTTAATTTTTAAATTAAAAATAATTTCATTTATTTTTTTTCTTTGCAATTCATCTAGATAGAATATGGAAACATGACTTTTCATAATTCTTTCGGCTGCTTCTCGATAAAAGCCAAGGAATTATCAACTTTTATGCAAATTTTTTTACTAACTGTTGTTTTGCTTTTGTATTAACTTTTATTACAGATTTTTTTTTAAAGTTTTTGCTTCAAAATTTTTTTAAAATTTGTGCTTTCCTGTTAGATAGTATATCATTTCTGATGGTTGATATTACCTGTTGGTTGATATAAATTCCAAATACTCGTATTTCTTCTCTTTCTTACTTACTTAATTAATTCTTCAGTATTGTGTGCCACGTTAATAATATTTTTGCGACAGCGAGCAGGAAGACAGATATTCGGGGCGCAAAACTGAAGGTTTACTTTTCGTCAGAAAGAAACTGAAGTTGGTTCAGAAACTGACTTAACTGACTATTCTACTAAGAGATTCAAATGTAAACAAATGTCAGCTTCGTTAGTCTTAGTAGCACTTAAACAACTCTGATGTATTCAAATAATCAGTTTGTTGATATGTCTTCAAATAATGAGTTCAGATAAGTAGAATGAAATTAACAATATAATGTATTTCTTCTGCCTTCTTAGCATGCCTTCGTAGTGTGGTGGTCTGCACGCTGGGCGCGTATTCCAGAGGTTCGTGGTTCGATTCTCAGGAAAGGCGTTGCTCATTGTTCATCTCTGCTACTTCGAAATAACCTAATGTCTCTACAACAGTTTATTAGGAAAATAGGCACAATAAAACAATACACACACAACACAATAATGGCTGTAAGTAACTCGAACGAGCATATTTAGCAGGTACTCGTTAGCACACAAATTAAATCGTAAATTTCCTCAGGTACTCTCAGGATACACTATAACTCGTGCAGCGCAGTCTCACAGCTGATCTGCAACTCTAATTCACAACTGAACTCCCCAGTTCTGCGAAAATATGTTTTCGCATATCTTCTCGAAAGTCTTTAAAGTCGGCGAGAAATCGCCAAATGTCGCCAACTTGGCGACAAAAATGTTTTTTTAGGAACGTAAGTGCTGATATCTCCAGTTCAAATTAAGCTATTTTTGCAATTCAAAAGCTGATGCACTCAGAATTAAAAGATCTACAATTCTATGCAATGTGTGACCACAAATTACACTAAACTCCAAATAAACGTAAAATTACCATTATATAACATTTAAAGAAATTAAGCAAATAAATAAAATAATACAAAATACTACAACAGCGTAGAAAAAGCAAAATGCAACCAAAAATGATTAAAATATCCGCAAATATATTTACAATAATATTTACTTGATTAAATATTTTAAAATATTTACTCTCACTTTTGTCATATATGCTTCTATTTATATAAAATAATTTTGAATATTATAATAATAAAATATTATATTGTTAAAATACAATATAATGAAATTTAATAATAATAATAAAATGCTGCAATTTTAAAATCTTAAATAATCTACGGCATTCGATTAAAAACAGTTAGAAGGGTTGAGTTTACCCGTTTGAGCTGTCATCGTTTACTGACTCAATTAAGTAATGTTAGATTATCGAATAAGCTTTTCTTTGCTAAGTTCTTACATGAAAGTATCCCTGTATAAGGAATGAGCACTGGAATGATTTGTCACAATTAATTAACGAAAATAATTAGAATATTAATTTCGTTACTTACTACTATTTAATTCTGTTCTCTTCAGTTCCACATTCAAAAGTTAAAGAGAAATTTTATTTGTTTTTTAATTTTCAAGAACATTACTTACCATATAACTTTCTTTCAGACCTCCAATGTCAGCTATATTTTCTCCTTGAGTATTAATGCCGTTCAGCTGCAAAAGATATAAATAATTTACTTTGAATCAAAGTGAAGATACTTTTAGATTGAATAGATAAAAGGATTTTAAGCACAATGCCATCCAAAAATCTTTAAATATTTAGAACATTTTTATTTCTGGGAATTTGCAGTATGCAAGACGATGCAAACTAGTAAAACAGTTTTGGTTCTCTTAAAATATTTCGATACATTTCTAAGTTACTAATATAACGAGCAGACAATCCTAACATAAGGAAGTATTAATTCAGAAGTCAAACAACAAAAATCAGCGTTATATTTTCAAATTTTCACTGTGAAAATTTGAAAATATAACGCTGATTAGCCTGAATTATCATACGCTTATAAATTGCTCTTTCTCTTCTAGAAATGGATAATGTATGTGATTCCAGGTTGTACCGTCGTTTATGTTTGAGCTTACGTCGTAGCGTTCGACATTTTCTTTGCTGTGTTCTGAGCTGTGCATTTCACCAGTGGAGCGTGTGGAGGGATTTTGAGTATCATACTGACAGATGCTCTTCGCACTCATCTTTGATAGTAGTCGTGAGAACTTCCGTAAAATTCTCTAACTCATCTTTTGTATGTGCTTGCCCTAGCCGGTCGTGTAGTACATGGAATTTTCCTTATATTTTCCTGAGGAATGATTTAATTTTCCTTCCTGGAAGATTGAATCTTTTAATTATGGTCAAGGTGGTCTAGCTGGCAAGTTGGTATGTGATGAAATTATGATCAGAAAAGCTGACGCCTTCAGTCACCTCTCATTCTTGAATAAGATGAGCTGTCTACGACGTTATGACTGAAAGATCGGGCCAGCCGATCAAATGCAATAAAAAAAAGGGGGGTGCGTTCGTGGTGTTGTGAATGATCAAGTTATTTGCTGACAGCAAATCGTTTCCGTGACGGGTTATTACAATTAACTATACTATTAATGTATTTAACATTTATAGTGATATGAGAATGATAAAAGACCATTGATATTTGCAGGACTGGAAGAATATATTTGAGGAAATTTTGCTTTGAACGATCTGTTACAGTGCGAAAGATCAGCAGTTAAATTTATACCTGAAGCAGAATTCCATCCTGCATTTTCGTGCTCAATGTATAGATAATTAAACTGTACTGAAATTCCACGCCGAATTTGTATTTATGATAGTACTGTTTAGAGAGCAAAATTTATTTGTTTAGGCTTGCATAAAAATTTCAGGTTTCTTTCATAAAGCTCACTGCTGTTCAATATTCTGCTACAGATCAAGGGCCATTTGTCAAATCTAACTTAATCGTACTAAAACAACGCCTGCGTACGAAATTGTAACAAAATTCTGATGTGGATACCACATGACTTCTTTGTATGGCGTATTAAATTATATACATTTTTTTGCTGTATTTGATTTAAATTTATTTCCTCGAATTTCATTAGAGATATATTTCTTATTCAATTAACTCAGTCATCACTTCATGGCAAGGCAAAAATACATAAAAACTGAAAACATATTCATTAAAAATTGTGAAATACAGAAAAACATAAAACACCAAGTATAGTTAAAACAATTAAAAAAAACAATTTTTTCAATTAAAATTGAAGTTTCTACGCAAAAACAAGCGATTCTCCCAACGGGCAGGAATATATATTTTTGGTGCACAAAACTGAAAGTTTACTTTTGGTCCCACTCGGTGAAAAGTTAGTGCAAAAACTGGCTTAGTTCAATATTCGGCTAAGAGTTTCAAATGTAAATAAATGTCAGCTTCGTTAGGCGTATTAGCACTTAAAGAACTTTTTAATCCTTAATAATTCTGAAAAGTAAAGAGTCATTAAAATGCTGAGATTCTTGTTGTCATTAATGGCATTAAGCGTAAGAAAAGTCAGCACATCATAGAAAATCAAATGACTTATTACGCCTATGTGTTAGATTTTACTAAGATTACATAAAAGAAAATGTAAGTATTTTCCTAACTGGAAGGGATGGTTTAAGAAATAACTAAAATTTGCATTAGAGAAATGGATATAGAGATAGGTAAGCAGATAAAAAAAGTCAGGAAAGAAGAACACAAAGCTGGAAGGAAAAAGGAAATTTGAATTTATCTTACCCGCATGCCATTTTCAGCAGTGTAATTACCGTATTGTTCTACAATACATTGGGCTTTCTTTTCGAAGAGCTCATCTGTCTTCTGCTCCCACCAGTTCACGTTGTTACCATCTTTATCAAATTGCCGACCTGTTATATCAGTGTTACATATGATACCGGATAGAATTTTTATTGTTTTACTTAGTTAACAGCATTAAACATGTTATCCATCTCCTGTATCATAATGATAATTTCATACTGTATCGAACTGACTAATTGGCATTGTAGAATAAATTCGTTTTCTCTCTAAATGTACAAAATTTCATTATATGTTTACACGCATATGAAAAATTTTTGTGAATAAAAGTAAAGACATCTTGAATCAAACATATTCTAAAAAATCTTTGGTAGAATACAAAATTGTGTTTCAGCTAAGCTTTCATGGATACGTAACAGAAAATTTTTGGTTTTATATTAAATACAAAAGTTTTTACGAAAGGCTTTCCAGAGAAGGACTGTAAAAATTACATTAATCATATTCAAGCAAGGATTGCAAAAAACGTGAACTTTTAAAATTATTTCTTGGGTTCAAATTTAATAATGTGAAGAACTTAAAAAAAATGTGAAGATTTTTTGGAAGAAAACGAACTCATAAATTTTTAAAAAATTTAGGTGTACATTTAGTTTAGGTAGTATGTAAAATTTTTGATTTTATATGAATTGGTTTTATTGGCAGAGCATTGCTTGCTTCTAAAATTTCCTTGGAATTAGTGCATGCTGCCATTGACCTACAGCCAATTTTTGTTCATTATTTTCTCCCTCTTTTCTGCATGCTTTTGTGGTGTAACGGTAGCACACTTAGCGCGTATTCGAGATATCCAGTTTCGAGTCTCGGTCTAGAATCTTAAAATTTCTTCAGTTTTATCGTAGTAGTAAGGTAACTCTACTTGGGTTACTTCTTGTTTTTATCGAGTAACTCACACGCTTTCGGGTGTCATCAAATAAAATTCGAAAACTTTCTTATCAACTATTCAAACGTTACGTTTTCTTCTAGGGGAAAATCTTTGAACTACAAAATTGGTGGCTGTACCTCTTTCTCTTTCAACGCGTTCATGTCCAGTTGCATCAAGTCTTCCTGAAAATGAATTCACGCACCAACTAATTTAAGAAATCCACTCCAAATCACGCTTGACAAAAACCACTGTTACACTCTTGATAACCTTGAATATTCAAATTCATTCACGAACACACTCACAGTGGTTTCCTTACGGTGTTATGACCTCCTGCAGCATAAACACCCTGCATTTTTTGAATTAAAAAAAAAAAAAAAAAAAAAAAAAAAAACGCTTTCCGGGAAAACGTTACTCTGCGTCCTTGTGTCTAGTAATGCGTCTGATAGAATTTCCCTCAAGACCCCATCTTTTGATTTTGACCACAGCACCCTTACTTAGTTTAAAGGTTTCTATTTATCAACATCCGCTTTCCTTTCATTGAAAGGTTTATGAGAATTATCTTAGCGACGTTGAACAGACGGTAAAATTTAGTGTGTGTAGTAGTAGACGGTGTTTTCAGTACTAGCAGACTATGTTAGACAGTGAAAGTAGGTATTTACAGAATTTTTAAAGTTTCCCCTTAATCTTTAATCTTTCAATAGCTAACTGCCTACAAATACTCATTGAAGCACTTTGACTTTTAAATTTCACAGCTAATTCAAAACGGTAGTTGTTCTAACATACCAGGATTTCTCAATTCTGCCAAGTCTAGAATATGTAGCAACCTGTACAATAATATTTCTATAATTTCCGAATTGGATTTATCCCCCATATAGCAATTTTACCACCTGAAACTTTCTCAAAACAAAATCCGTTATTTCATCCGCAGTCCTCTGGTATTTACCGTACAGTTCTGATTCTAGTTTTGCTCTATCTTTTACATAGAAAAATGGTTTCCAAATTGCAAAATTTAAAATGCATCGAATTTATAATTCTTACTTCCCGGTTCACCTAACAGATACTTTCTAGTGCCCTTATACCAGTTCAACGCTTAACTTTGCAACACAAGGGTTCATTGAAACAAGTTTTGTACCTAAAATATATGCAAATCCTTCCACTGGGTTTGTTGGCGTTGTAGAAACTTGAAGTCTTGGTGGTGGCAAGCTGAACGTTGCCCCGTTGCTAGGCGTAGTTCGTGAGAAAGTTGGTCACAGATATAGAGTTATACTTGTGGATAAGTTCATATCGATATTCTTAAGACCCTATTAGAGTAACTAGCCAGTTACTGCCCTAATTGAATTAAAATAACAAAGAACTTCGAAGGTCAAAATAATTTTTAACTTTTTATTAAATGGCGCTTTTTGTGCTTACGAAACGAAACTACCTCACTTGCGGGTATTTAAATTAATATTAATTAGATTCAGTTTCATGCAACCTTATGAATATCTGATTCCATGAAAGCCAGCAAATTTCAGAATAAAGATGAAGGTATTTGTACTCGCTACCCATTTCGTCATAAAGTAATGAAAGTATTCTACTGTTCAAAGGCTTTGCTTTAATGTAGTTTGTAAAGTCATTAAGATTTTTTTTTGAAGCAGGAGACATGAAAAATGTGCAATGTCCTCGCCGGGACTTGAACCACGGAGCTCTCGAACATGTGCCGAGTATGCTGACCATTACACCACGAAGGCATGCTAAGAAGAAATACCTTATAAGTGAATTATCTTAATGCTGTTCTTTTAACACCGTTTTAAATTTATATGGCATACTATTGGCCGCCAAGGCTTCCTTGTAAATGAAACTTTGAGTTCAGGTAACATTAGGTGTCACTGCTTTAATTCTAGGTACAACGACAGCATGTCTACGGAGCCCCATCCAAACAAAAACGTACACATTTAATAATCAGTTTCATGCTTTTGCATTTACTCCTTGAGAAGTTACAAAATTTCGTCTATGAAAGTAAAGTAGTTTAGTCTTTGAAGTTAAAGTAATTCATCAGTGTCATAGACAGAAAATAGTCAATAGTTTGACATAAAAAGTCAACTCTGCGCTTTTCGCGATGTGAATACTTGCAATATAGGAAGCTTCTGAGACTTATGTAGTTGCGGAGGAACAATTATGATTTCTTTAATCAGTTTCTCAACGCATTGTAGGATAATACGACAGATTTATGCTTTTCAAATTTCGCGTGCGTTATTCACTCGTTTCAAAGTATTTGAGACCCTTTCTTCACTTGCAACGCGCACAGCTGATATAATAAATCTAGTCATATTTACTAAAGTTTTTTTTCTATAGGTTGCTTGAAAGACCACTAGATGTCTCTTTAATGGCACTCGCATCACTGATATTAAAATGTACAGGTTCTGTATTATTAAGCATTGCCTAAATGAAAGGTATAATCGTTTTCTTTTCTATTCACATATCAGGTTTGAAGCCGTTTCTCCATTATGCACTAATAGAAAAGCAACGAATCAGCAATATATAATTTCTTAAAAGTTAGTGATTGCTTACAAAAAAATGAGGTGTTAGATGTGCTGCAAAAGGATGGTGAGATGCACCACAGTCTGTAACCGGTAATAAATTTCATAAATGTCAGTCTTGGGAGAAAAAGTAATAGACGACTGGTGTGTGTTATTTCCGAACTCTGTGATCTTCACTTATAGTGTGGTATAGTCAGTTAAGTTTTATTTATTTATTATTATTATGTTTTTCGAAAATCGAGAAGAACTACAAGAACAGGCTTCGAGAACCACTTGTGGCTCACGGACCACAGATTTGGAAACTTTTTTTTTAATCGGGCTTTAGGCCGATAAAATTGGCTTTTATCGGGCCCCAGTTTTAGGGTTTCGCCACTACAAAGGCCAGAAACAGCGTTCGTTTTATTACGGAGGTACCTAATAAGCGGCCACCGTTACCTCCTGTGAAGGATCAGACAATTTACATCCATACTCTTCGGTCTGGGCGGCAGATTTTAGAAAGGATGATAGCATATTTTCCATTTTGATGGCTTACATACTGTAGCGGACGATCTCATTATATATTCTGTTTGAAAAATATAACTTTTTGATTTGGATCTTATTTATTGCCATAATTTACTTTGAAAATGTGAGTTACTTTTTTTTGGATTTGTGTCACATGTATATCAAATTTTAATAATATGTATCGACTCTGTCCTAGGCGTGAATTTATTTACTTTAATTAGAACCAAAATATGTTACATTTCATGATTAGAGCCTTGTTTATAAATTTTTTCAAGATTTATATAATTTAAATTTTTTCTTGTTTAACTTTTGTAAAGCAGTTATATGCAACTTGTTTTGCTGCTTTTTATAGTCCACTTACGTTTTGCTAAGTAAAACAAAGAATACAAATAATTACATCACCTGTATCGTCGAATCCATGGGTAATTTCATGACCAATAATACAACCCATGGCTCCAAAATTCAAGTAACTGAAACAAACATAAGAATTAGAAATGTATTTGAAAACATTTTAGAGGTGTCATATGCGAAAAGAAATGGAATAGATACATTTAAGTACATGTAAAATGTACTTTAAGTTCTATTTAAACTTACTTCGGTTGCTCCTTGTTGAAAAAAGGATGTTGTAAAATTCCAGCAGGAAATGCTATAAAAATATTAGTAATGAAGTTAACACAAAAATTAATTTATCTTTATTTAGAGATTTTAAGATTGTAAAGTTACAGTTATTTAAAATAATAGGTTACCAATGATATTGTCCACTAAATGATAAAAGGCGTTTACGACAGCAGCATGTGCATATTCCTTCCAGCTGAAATAAATGTGCATTAGTATAAGATACAATTTCTGCAATTTAAAAGAAAGTTTCGCATATGATAAATTTTACTTTTAATTTATTGTTTAAACTTCTACTCTCCACTTTTAAATTAATGACAAGCGAATAATAATAGAGAGAGGAGGGAAACTGTCGCTAAACGGAATTCATTTCCTTCTAAATTTAAAAAAAAAAAAATTAAATTGCTGAATACAGAATAGACATCCTTCGTGTTCCAAAAGTTTCCTCCAATTCACTTCGCTTCTAACAACAGAAACTTGCGAATGCTTTGTCATCAACCTCGTCAAAAATCTATGTAATTATTAGGAGCTATGTCGCAATATATGGGGCACTCTGTATATATGCAAATATACAGAGTGCCCCATATATTGCGACAAACTTCTGGGGCAGGTAGGGCACATCATAAGGATTAAGAAATTGCATAGGCACCCATGCCCGAAATCGTATTTCCAAACCCTACCCCACTTTTCGAATTTTTGACGTCACGGAAATATCGACTAGTTTCACCTGGCAAATAGAAAACAGCGTACCCCACTTTTAACTACTACGGCGCGCTATCGAAAGAATTATGGGGCTGAATAGTGTGTTTAGGTGATAATTGTGAGATTTTCGCAATTTAAATTATTATGAGTGGAAATTTTAAGCAAAGTCTTTAGTGAATGGTTATTGTGCATCGGCGTAGTGTATTTGAGGATAGAGGAGAATAATTCACTGCTGATGTATACATTAACAGTATGAAAAATGTGGAAGGTGATACTGAGCAATAAATATGATGCATTTCATCGCAAAATTCAGCGATGCCAGTAAAACAAACGAGGTTGTTCGAAAAACTTATCTAGATCTGAAATCACTATACATAAATTGTATGTGTGCCAATACAGCAATTTTAATATTAAAAAAAAAAAAAAAACACTTGCAGAAAACTTCAGATCAAGGAATAAGAATTGCAGCGCCTCTGTGTGCTTAAAAACTACGAAGCATTCTGCAGACTTTTGTGCCAAAATCAGGGTTGACAAATAGACTAATGTTTCTTTTATTGTATATATTTCAAAATTATTAAAATAATTTCCACAGTTGTTTAATTGCTTAAAATAGCAATAAAGCTCATCTATAAAGATATCAAAGGAACTTCATAATTATCAAAACACTTCATTTCTTTGGTAAAAAACTGAAATTTACAAAATTACCTAACTTTATAACATTAAATATCTTCTTAAATGTAATATTATGTTTGATAAAAGCTTAACTACTTTATTCATTTGTTATACATTAAAATATTTTCTGATTTATTTAACATAATTATCAGGATTACTAACTGTGTTAAGAATTTCAGTGTGATTGCATGCTTGTGTAATGAACTCTGATTTTCATGAACGAAAAAGAAATACAATCTCCGAATAAGTACTTTTTTGTTTTCCAGTTCCTGTGTTTAGCTGTAAAAGTAAATTCACTTCAAGTGTGTGCCTGTGCAATTGTGACGATGTAAATACTGAAACGTGAGTACAGTAAAAATTCAACTAAAATATATCTGGAAAGCTCTTGAAATTTTGGATGGCCGAGCATATAAAAAATGAAATACTGTAGAAAAGTAAGTAAATGGAAGATAAACTACTAGTCTAAAATCATAAAAACAGTTCATCTTATTTGTACCAACTTTAAGATTTTTATTTTTTATTTATTTTTTTATATGGCAATATATGGCAATGTAAAAACCTTTTAACTATTAATAAATTCTAGATAAGGGCGGACGTGGGCAGAACCGATTAACCGTAATGGTAGGGAGATGGTGCCCACGTCCTCCGTCACTACTACTATTACTACTACTACTATTTGTACCAACTTGACTATCAAAAGCCAATATTTAATATTATATTATGCAAGATTTTGAAAAAAATCTATGCTACTTATCTTTGGAATATGATAACGGGTGATTTTTGCACGGTTTGGTATGTGGATTCAAATTGCAAGTTCAGACTTTAAATAAGAACAATAGTAATCTGAAAATTTGAAGTAGTAATTTTATATCCAAAAATCTCTGCCAAATAACTTCCATGTTTTAAGTAATTAAAATATATATTGTCAACCACATATTATTAATTTTTAAAGTACATTGTATAATTTAAATTTTTATTTACTTTCATTAATTTTAATGCTTGCCATTATAAATTTCATACTATTTTTTTAAGATTTCATAGTTGCTAATTAAGCGAACAGAACAGGATATTTTTTATCCTGACTTCCTTTACAATTTATTTAGTTATTTTATACATACATATGTATATAGATATTATGTAAGAAAGGGATTTATGTGCAATAGATATATACAGATGTGTTTGGACTATGTATATACAAATAAGTTTTTAAAAGGAAAAATTTATAATCCTTCCAAGAATTTTCGTGCAATATGCTGCTAAAAATTGATCAGTAAATATATATAAAGAAAGAAATTTTGAACCAATTTTTCACAGACTAAAAATTGAAATTCAAATTAACTTGATAAAATCCTGTAAATGTAGAATATCAAATATTCTTTTTAGACTAGTAAAATCTTTTTAAATTGGAAGATATTTTTAATAATTTTACTTTACTTTTTTTTCATTTTCCTTTTGCTACTGGTGTTTGATATGAAGTTCTAGTAAAGTTCTGTATTAAGATTATTATGAACTTTTAAAGATTTTTCACTGTAGGATTTTAATATTTTCTACATTTTTAAAGGCATGTTTTAATTTTTTCAAGATTACTTTTAGAATAGAAAAATATTTTTAAATTGGAAGATATTTTTAATGATTTTACTTTGTATTTTTGCCCTTTTCCTTCGCTTTGAGAAGGACCAGAATTTTCGGGTGAACTATTAAAATAAAAAATATATTGAAATGGTTCATCAGCTGATGCTGGATACAGAAAAGCAAAGATTTTGTTTTAGAAGGGAAATTGTAATTAAATTCGACATACTTCTTGACGATGTCACTATGTTGAAGGTGGTAGGATTCCTCGTCTTTCTTGTTCTTTTATATCCTTTTTTTTTTTTTTTTTTGGTTTTTCTTGTGATGGTTTATTTTAATTTTTACATTTTAAAATATTCTTATTCTACATTTATAGGATTTTATGAAGTACATTTGAATTTTAATTTTTAGTCTTTGCAAAAAGTTGCTTCTAAATTTTATATATATATATATATATAAGAACTCCTACACTTCTAGAAAAAACTAATCTATGTATTTATTTATCCCACAATTTCATTTTGAAACATTTTAGTACATGCATCTCAATATCTTAAAAGTTGATTTTTTGTTGAAATGAAATATGTAATATGGAAAAATTCTATCAGAAAACATAATTCAACTCAGAATTTAAGCAGGAGATAAATAGAGATAATAATAATAATGTGGAGTATTTGATCCTGTTCTCCTAATAGTCATTTGAATAATTTTAGCGTGCTTTTCCATTCAACTGAAAGAGTAAAAATATAGAAAAATTCCCACAGAAACATAATTCAGCTGAGAAACAAAGCAGGCAAAAATGGGTTGGCGTCAGGAAATTGATTGATCTAAAACAGGGATTCTTAAACTTTTTTTCAGTCGCTACGCTTTTTTATCACAGAGACTTTTTCACGATCCCAGGATCCCAAAATATTTACGAAAATTTTGTGGGACCCCCATAAGCATTGCAAAAATTCGACACACGCGTGAGTGAAACTGTCAATTTTTTCACTTGTACTGTAAGATACTATTGCAGTTTTAGGTCATTAACTTTAATTTTAAGACATAGAAGAATGTGAAAATTTTTATTAAGTAATAGACGAAATGATAGTGTCACCTGAAAAGCAAGTAAAATGAACATTTATATTATAAAAAGAATGCATCGAAACGTTTTTGTTTTTCTCTTTGTCTGTATTGTCGTATCCTATTTTCAGATACATTGTGTAAAAATGTTTGGTAATTGTAAAATTATTATATTAAGTTAAAGAAATACAAAAACTGCTAAAATTTTTTGCGAACCCCCTGCTATAGATGGAGCTTGCGATCCATAGTTTAAAAAACTCTGGTCTAAAATAACGTTACAATATTTGACTTTGTTAGAACATTGGATAACTGAGACTATAGCCAGTGCGATTATGGCAGGTGTGCAAGATTTTGGAATTTAGAGAACCATCAAGTAGCAAAATTTTTGGAATTTACGAGTGGAAAAGTTTTTAGAATTTATGACCCACAGAGATGACATAGGACAGCAAAATGTACCTGCTGAAGATAGGACTCCAGTGCATGTTCTGTTCTTGTGAGGAGTGTATGCTTAAACGCAGAGATGCATTTTCAGTCATGATCGCTAGGTCATCAGTCTACACAGCATTGTGTGATATGTCATTCTTGTAAATAAGGAATAAAATTGATTGCACATTAGTTAAATAACCTAACTCCTTCCTTGTAAGTATTATGCGAGAATATTGTAATTGTTGAATAGGAACGTAACATTTGTTTTCTGTTCATATGAAATGGGATAGTTCTTTTAGCAGTTACACAGGCAGACGTTTGAAGGAACGGATGATTCTGTATTTAGTTAGATAATCAAAGTACACAATCTATGGACATAACATATTAAACCGTAATTCACTTTTCAGCCAATGTTTATCCATTTTCACGTAAGTCGTACTTTCCCGTAATTTTGAAAATACTCTGTTGCATGCTGTTCTGAAATAATTTTTTTTCCAAAATGCAATTGATAACTTGTATTGTATTTTACAAAATTTAAACCTGGGAGTCATGAAAAAATTTGTAGAGGGTCATCAAATTTAAAGAAATTTATTTGAAATAAAATATATACGGAATTTGAAGAGAATTTTGGATGTTTTTTTTTTAAATTTGCCAGGAATTTTAAATTAAACATTTTCATATTTTGATTTTATTGCTTTCCACTTGATTTGTGTGTTATTCTTGATGATTTCCAAACAGCTCGAATCGAATTTCAAAGCAATTGCATAC